GATCATGCGTTTTGTGCAATTCAGCCCATCGAACGATTGCCTATTAATGATTTTCACTGTTTTGTAATTTAGTTTATGCAAAAATAGTTCAAACATTGGAAAACAGTTAAAAATTTCACGCGTTAACGTATGAAAGCTGAATTCGAAACCTTGAGTGGTGTTTTTTTTCAATTTGTGGGGTCACACGTGGGTGGGGAACGTTCCCCCAAATTTTCAGCTTCCTAGCTTTTATGGTTCCCGAGTTGAAATTTGCGGACAAGTTGCTGCGGATGCACACACACACACACACACACAAACAAACAAACAAACACAGACAACTCCGTGACAATATGCGTTTTGTAACGTTGTTACACAGCACAAAACGCATAAAAACGAACAGGTGGAAAATGACAGGACTTAAAAAGGCGTAAACTTGCATTGTTTACAAAAAAAAAGTAAGATTTGAAAAAAAAAAACGTAGTAAAAAGGGTGTTCTCGTACCGGTTCCGCTCAGTATGGAGGGGAATAGCAAACTATGACGGTTAATCCTGAACCGAACCCATAAATTCCCTCACAAGACTATCTACGGGAGTTCTTGGAAATTCGCTTTACGCCTGTTCTTCAAATATACACGCTAAAAAAAATTCCACCTTGCATTCCCGTCATCTTCACAGCTCTCGTCCACACTCGATGAGATCCTTTGTTTTTCCGCATTGATTATGTTTGCCATGTCTTTGCCACGCCCAGCTTCACTTTTCGTCCGTACACGGGCTGCAAATTTTATCAAAATGCTATTTGAAAAAACTTCGGCTTTTCAATTTTTTTCAGTCCAAAAGTATCGGTAGTGAGAGAGCTGGCAAAGCAGCCGAAGGTGCTTTGAATCTTATAAAAATGCAAAATCAGTTTACATGGTATAAACGAGGCATGAATTTTAACTCAGCACAGGTGGGGAAGAATCGGAAAATCAGTGTGGCCTCGCACATCGCTGCGTGGGACTTCTATACAACAGACTTCCGGCACAGATTCTACGGGTAATTATTGTTGAAGGAAGGTTGGGGGAAATGCAAGGGCCAAAGAGACAATGTGCTGTGTATAATTTTTTTTTTTTCACTCGGATCATAGGCGGATCCACGGGGAGGGGGAGGAAGGACGGAGATCTTCCCCCCATCTTCCCCAAGTACCAGTGCTGTAAAAGTTCGGGTCTAAAGCTAAAACTAAAGTAAACTGAAGCCTAAAACAACTCTAAACTAAAGTAACTCTAAGTAGAAGTGTTACAACTCTATTCCCCGGTCTTGCATAGTTCCAGAGTGGCAGAGGACTCCCCTTCCCATCTCCCTTCCCCACTCTCCTGCCCTCCAGCAGCCCCGCTTTCTTCCCCCTTTACCCTCCGTCGCCCCTCCCCTCCCCCGCCCCTCTTCTCCCAGGAATACGTTCTGGATCCGCCTATCACTCGGATGAGCAAAGAAAACAGGAAAAAAAAGCCAAAATCATTAAAAAGCTTTCAACACTGTGTGATGAAACTTCGACTCTAACAAACACGAAAAAAACTGTCAACAAATTGTTCGCCGCTTGATAACGTTAAGCAGCAGTTGGAAGAACGCCAACCGACCAAAGATCAAGCAAATATTTGCTTGGAATATGAAAATTAATTAAAAAAACCTGTTGTCATACCTGCGTGCATTCGTTGTGCGGCCGATTCGTCTATATTTTTCACTGCCTCCTGTAAAATAATCTTTTTTTTTCTAAAAAATTCAATCACATCTGCCAGTGCATCATTTACAAATCGTAATTCGCAAAGAAAATGGGAAAAATTCCTGAATTTTCCAGACAACCAAAATCAAGGTTCCTGCTCTATCTCTTGCCTTCCGATAGATGAACGTATTCGAAAACAGCAGTAATAGCAACACTGTTAAAAGCAATCACCGGCTAGCAAGAACAGTGACATTGCCTTCTTTTATAAACTTAATTTTTCAAAAAAAGTAGCCAAAGAAAAAGACGAAGCTTCCAACTTTACGGAATACGTTGTACGCCGGGCGAAAAAACTGCAGGTCCTCCATTCCACGTTACTTCCTTTCAGTTATGATCCCTCAGAATCCACCCCATTCCTGCACATTTCATGTGAAAGAAGCGACTTCTATCCCGAGGATATCAGCAGTTTCGAAGTATTAAGAGAGCAAAAGAAAATAAAAATTCCAGGAAACCTGAATTAGTTCATCATATGCGCCAAAGTTGTAGTCAACTTTCGCGACTTGCCTTCTGGATCTTGACAAGGCTATCGGGATAATCGGTTTTGGAGGGTGAAAACCAAGACGCCTAAAACAACAGAGGTCCAAAATATAACTCTGTGACCTTGGCTGTTATCAAAATAAGCAAAACACTGCCTGAAATAGCTGTTCGGATAAAGACAAACCAAACCTATTTGCCTTCTTTTTGGACTTTCGTTCGCCATCATCTTCGTCCAGTTCTTCGGATGATTCAGAACTTTCTTGTTTCTCATTTTTCACCTAAAACGGATATACGTAAAGACCGAAAAACACACGCACACAGGAAAGCTCTTGGCATAAATAGTGTGATTTCTTCAATCAAATTTAGCACCCATTCCGTAAGGACTACAAAAGCGTGCAACGAAATTTTCACATAATTAATTTGGCATGCCCAAATGGCATATCCTTGAATGATATAACACAGTTTATAATTATACCAAGGTAGAAAAATTCAGAAGATACATAAAGTAAGCAGAGCTTCAAAAGTTGCAACAGTTCTACATAAGGAACAAATAAGAGGTTCTATATCCAAAAAAAAAAAAACGAAAATTTGAGAAGGAAGTATACACTGAAGCACACACATACACACACACACTGCAGTCGGGATGCAGTTACGCTTCTGGGATAAGAAATACATAACTTTTTGATCAAAACGTCCAGAACTTTTATTATTAATTTTCATTTTTATGCGTTTTTTGCAGCTATGCAATGCAAAAACGCATATTAACGAGGGGTTGTCTGTATGTCTGTGTGTGCGCCTGTCCCGATTTTTCACCTCAGGAGCTATAAAAGCTGCAGGGCTGAAACTTTGAGAAATTAATCTACATGCAAGTACGAGCCCCAATCCCCAAAATGGACGCCATTATCCGCGTAGTACCGTGTACAGGCCAGCCAAAGTTTTTTACGGGTAAGTTCAAAACTTGGGGATCTGAGAAGCTAGAAAGCTGAAATCTTAGGGTGAAGTTCCTCGTCCAAGCGGGTATTAACGAGTTCAAACCCTGCCCGCGGGTAAGCATGGTACCTACGTACGGGCCCGTGAAGGTTTTTTTCCGGGTAAGTTGCTAACTCGGGAACGTGAGAAGCTAGAAGACTGGAATTTTGAAGGGATGCTTCCTGATAGTCCCGGCGGTTAGTATGAAATTCTTTTAGCTAGAAGCATCTGCCGGAAAAACCAGTGCCGTTAGCGACAAAAATTTGCGAGGAGCCATGCAAAAAACGCATCTTCGCACGGGCAGCTCGTGCTCTGGCCAATTATCAGGCTTATCAACGAGGATATCATAAGCTATCTGCGAGACTAACCGTATCAATGATGTTGTTCAACGAGACACCAATGTATTCCATTTCTCGTCTCAGCCGTTCTGCAGCTGCTTCTTTCCTACAAACAACAGTGCATAATAAAGTACAGCCACCAAAAAAAAAAAAAAAAAAAAAAAAAAA